TTTTTTTTTTTTTTATATTTCGGTTCAGTGTAAAAATTAGTGAATGCTAAGCGAACCAGTATCTTAAATGTATCATTTTCTTTTTTGGTCCGGACTAAAAGAATCAAGAGAGCCAAACTACAGGTGTGAATATATCCTACGGTCCTTCTTCCCTGATTGCTCAGTTCGGCTGGGCAACCAACTCAAGAAGATTCCAGGGATGCGCTTCCCAAAAGCATCGTAAGCTTAAGTACATCGTAGACACATTGAAACCAATGGAGCTACGATCAACTAAAGCCCCGGTTCACACTGTGCAATTTTGGCTACAATTTGGTCGTCTGAGACAAATTTGGAAAATCCTAAAAGATTCCTATAATCCTAGGCTAAAATCTGTAGTCTTTGATCGCTGGTTTGACATGTTCACCCACAGCTGATTAATGGCTGTTGCGATCAAATTTTACCTCCAACGAAATTCTGGCAGTGAAATTCCTGCAATGTGACGTCAAACTGTCTCCGTTTTTCAAGACAAGCCATGATCAGAATTAAATGTTAGAGATTTATTCTATCCGCCATATGATACTTTGCCTTTGCTATGATAAACACCGGTTGTGGGTGTGTAGTGCTGCTTTACACTATTTTTAAATATGCCGGTATTGCTGTCATTCATATACTTATTTAAATCAGTGGTTCTCAAACCTGTCCTGGAGGACCCCTAGCCCTGCACATTTTGTATGTCTCCCTTATCAGACACACCTGATTCAACTCATTTGCTCGTTAGTAGAGACTGCAAGACATAAATTGGGTGTGTCTGATAAGGGAGACATACAAAATGTGCAGGGCTAGGGTTTCCTCCAGGACAGGTTCGAGAACCCCTGCTTTAAATGATAGCCAACATTTCAGCATCGCGTGTAATGCAGCTCGCAGTCACTGACCGTGTGTGGGTTGATAATGTAAAACTCCGGACAAGTTTTTTTGCATGCACTCGTTTTAACTGTATGACTTGACTGTCATACAGTTTGACATTAATGACAACTGAGATCCCACAGTGTGACATGATCATCATGTTCGTACAGTCTGACAACAAGCAACAATCGTAAAGGACTATTAAAATCGCACCGCGTGTGCCCGGCTTTAGGCTTACGATGCTTTTGGGAAACGCAGCCCTGGTTGTTTCAAACTTCTTCCATTTAAGAATTACGGAGGCCGCTGTTCTCTTGGAAACCTTCAATGCATCAGACATTATTTTGTAGTCTTCCTCCCCAGCTCTTGACACAATCCTGTTTCTGAGCTCTCCACACAGATCCTTTGATGTGATGGCTTTGTTTTTGCTCTGATTTGCATTTGAGCTTGTAAGAACTTGTATGGACAGGTGTGTGCCTTTCCAAATCATGGCCAGTCAGTTTGCAGACAATGGACTCCAATCAAATTGTACAAATACACTAAAGATGATCCAGAGAAATGCACCTGCGCTATATTTTAAGTGTCACAGCAAAGGGTAATAATGTTAGTTTGAACCTTTTAATAAAATGTGCAAAGTTATCATAAATCTGGCTTTTAAAAAAAAAAAAAGAATGCAAATACTGTAAATTGAACTGATCAGAACTGCACTTTCGTCAATTACATTAAGTCACGTTAGTTTCATCATTCTGCCAGCTTAACCAACAAATATGCTCACAAATGCTCTCACATGACAGCTGTGGTTAACAAGACAGGAAGTCAGAATTTTCATGTGGGAGAAGATTATGAAATTATATATATATAAAAAAAATAAGAGTGTAAAACAGCTTTACTGCTGAAGGAAACAATAGGAGGAGAACACAAGGGAAATAGTACATTTAAAGGTGAGAGAAGAGAAGTCTGACCAGCGATTTGCAGCAATGGTGAACAATAAGACATTGATGATGGTCGTCCTCCTAAGCATCTTTGTGGCAGGAAGTCAAACAAAAGGTTAGTTTATATACCCTTAATTGGTAACACTTTATAATAACTTTGATTAATAAAACCTTGCAAATCCTTAATCCTTACAAATGTCATTAAACTTTTAATTCATATGATCACACACATTTTTAAAAATCTACAAATGACTAACTGAAATTATATAATGATTAAAAAGCTTATTTGTTAATGCACTTTTGAATGCTAACAAATGTCATTAAACTTCAGTTCACATATTACCTAATGCTTTTTTTACGTTTACAAATGTTGTGAAAAAATAGCTTAGTAATTTTAAGCACTTTACAAACTATTCATGTTAACATATTATTCATTAACTCATAATCACAGCCTGTAAAGCTCATATGGTCTTTACTTGTTGTGTAGACATCTACTATTTTCACATCTTAACAAATCATTGATTAATTATTTGTTCATGTTTTTGCAGTACCCAATCTAAAGTGGCAACTATTCATCATTTGTAACGTTTACTAATCATTAGTACCTTTATAAGCAGTCATGGCAACAGCAAAGTGTCTCAAATGACCTGAATTCACCCTAGTTACACATCTTTACAAATCATTTATTAATTATTTGTTCGTGTCTTGCAGTACCCAATCTAAAGTAAAAACTAGTCATAATTCGTAAATGTTTACTAATCACTTAGTTTCTTTATGTGCACTGGACTTTTAGCTGCTGTAACAACGTTTGTGTAAACGGTGGTTAGTTAAATTTTGTGAAATGCTTGCTAAAGACACAAAACATTGTAATTCGGGTTCAAAACAGGTTTTTATTGCCTCAACACTTATATTGGTATACTGTATAACATTAAACAGGATATTTCTTTGAATCACACACCAACAGGACAAAACAAGGTTACACTTTATTTCGATAGTCCACTTTAGACATTCTATTAACTATAAGTAACTTTGTAACTTTGCAACTACATGTCTACTAACTCTCAGAGTAGACTGTTAGGGTAGGTTTAGGGTTAGTAGAATAAGTTGACAAAGAAAGTGTTAGAAGATATTAAGCAGACAGTCTACTAATACTCTACTAACTGCTAGTTGACATGTAGATGCAAAGTTACTTACTGTTAATAGAATGTCTAAAGTGGACTATCGAAATAAAGTGTTACCCAAAACAAATCAGTTTTTCAAGAAAATACTTGTTCGTAATCAAAATAATGTAATATAAACAGATTGAACCGTGTTCCCTTATAATCAAACTGACCCCTTTATACTTCTAACCCTTTAATCAACCCTTAAACCTACCCATCCCTAACCTTACTCGTACCACACCTCAATAGCTGCAAAAGTGTTGTGCATTAACAAAAGCTTTTAATCATTGTATAACAGCCGTTGTAGATTTTCAAGAAATGCATGATCATATGAATTGAAAGTTTAATGACATTCGCAATTTACATTAAACAACGATCCGCTAATCATTAGGTATTGTTTAATAAGTTTATTAGCAAACATTAACAAGCACATTATCTCATGTTTCTAGCCATTTTAATATATATTAATTAAAGATCTGTTAAGCATTATATAATGTTTGTTAATGGTATATTATCGAAAGATATTATAAAGTGTCCCCCATTCATTTTAATATGATACTCTTTTGAGCTGTACTTTATTGTTTTGGCTTTCTGGTCTAGCATCTTTTGTTTACAGATGCCACTGGAATTTTTTTTTACTCCAATGGAATGACATTCATACATTTTATGTGTGGTTTAAGTGTTCAAATATAGGGTCCACTGAATTTTCTTCATTTTGTTTAAATCTGCTAAATCTTCACTATCTCACACTGGAAATCTCACTCGAGCAATGATTGTGTTTCATTGTGCTGAGCCTCACATTAACCTGTTACTAACACGCTGTGCCACTAACTGTCCTAGGAGATCAAGCCACTGCATCTCATCAGAATAAAGATTCTGCGATTAAACAACTGACAGGTCAGACAACATACACTTTTATTTATGTAAATACATTGCACTTTTTCATGAATAGGGTAAAAAAAAAAACTCATAAAATATTTTTTAAAACAATGGTCAGCGAAAGCAAGTGCTTAACTTTGAGAAAACATTAATTGTAAAACAGTTTATAGAATTTTATAGAATCACCATTTTACAAACAAGGATTTTGTGCTTCTAATGCTTCAAAAAATAACATTACCATTATATAATGAACTGTATTGATGGGAAGTGCCAACTATTTTACATCTATTGTTAGAATAGAGCTGCTGTACACTCTTAAAAATAAAGGGGCTTCACGATGCCATAGAAGAACCTTTTTGTCTAAATGGTTCCATAAAGAACCTTTACATCTGAAGAACCTTTCTGTTTCACAAAAGGTCATTTGTGGTGAAAGAAGGTTCTTCAGATTATAAAAAGGTAAGAAAGAGATGGTTCTTTAAAGAACCTTTGTCTGAATGGTTCTTTGTGGAACCAAAAATGGTTCTTCTATGACATCGCTGTGAAGAACCTTTTAAGCACCTTTATTTTTAAGAGTGTATGTGTTGTAACTACTTTAAGTCTAAAGGAAAAGACACAATGGATAACACTTGTCTGGTATGGCAGGGAGAGATTCGTTTAATGTATAGACAAAGAAAAAAGAAAGACAAAATGTGTCATAATACCCAAATGTTATATTTACATTTGAATTCTATTCACCTAAAAGTGTCCAAATTTTACTCAATACAATATTTAATCTAATTGTATACATTTATTGATTGATTTATTCCTGCAGATTTCAAAGAGCAGACATTTATTCCAGGCAGTGATGTGATTTTACAGTGTGGCAATGCCACTGATATCAACTGGAATGAATTAATTTATATCGTCTGGAACATCAGCCTGCAAGACAGAAAATGTTGGCTTGGTTTGTCTCCCAAGCTGGACGACAAATGTAAAGATGGAAAGAGGCTGTACAACACCTCAGATGGAGTTTACTTAGTCATTCCTAAGATTTCAATAGAAGATGAAGGATTTTATTCTTGTGATGTATCGTATAAAGCAGGAAGCTATTTGGCAAACGTGTCTGTAAGCGGTGAGTACAAACACAATTTATTGTAAAACTATTGCAAAAACTGTGAAAATATTTATATTACAACAACAACAGGTTTACATCATATATATCTCAAACTTCCACTGTAGTCATGAACCAGTGATGAATCCAGTTAATTGTACAAAAAATATTTAAAGCTAAAAAAAAAAAAAAAAAAAAAAATTCAATTAAAGTTCTTTGTTTTTAGTTACCCAATTTTCCACCCAGCTGTACAGTGAAAACAATCAAAGGATTGCTGTCTGTCATGCCACATTTAAAAAGACAGCACCCACTCTTCATTGGGAACCTGCCTTGAACTTTTCCACCAGTATCAGTTCTGTCAAGAATCTTGGCAGGTTTTTTATGATGGAGAATCGAGTATATCTGCCGGACAATGTCAACATCAGTGAGCTCACCTGTGTGGCCACATACACCTCCGAGTCCGGCTCTGTTCAGCACAAGAGCACACTTCATCTTACAGGTGAGCACAACGTATTTGAAAAGGAACTGAGAATTGATTTCAATAGTGGATCAGTAGTAAATTATGTTCCTCTCAAGCTCAGTCAGGTTAGATGGGGACCATTTGTCAAAAGACATTAGCTCTCTCCAGAGATGTTTGACAAGGTTCAAGTTCAGGGTCTGAATACTCGAATACTAAATTTGCAAATCTGGTTTTTGCTTTGCAATTATGGGGTGTGGAGTGTAGACTGGTGTGGAAAAAAAATGTATAATTTAAAGAATTAACATAAGGCTGCAACATAAAATGTGAAAAGTATTCAAGGGTCTGAATACTTCCCTAAATGCATGGTAGCACTATCTAGGGTTACTAACTTAAAGCTTATAAGGTCTCTAGTTTAGCCACCAATGATGCTGGAAAAGGCACCAGCAGTGGGAGGAAACCACTGCACGGAGGAAGTGCATGACAGGAGAGGGAATGTCCTTCTTATGGAGCAGTGGCATTGGGCAGCTTTAAGACCATAAAAAGTCAAAATCATCATGATTAACTCACCATATGTGGAGACAATGCTCTGTGTAACGACTCCTCATTTTTTCTCTGGTGTCATTAAATACGCAGGCTCTCACACACGTATAGTAAAAGGCTACACACACACAACAGCATGTCGAGATACTCTTCATCTAAAGTAGCTATGACTGTAGCTTCTGTGTATCACTGCCAGATGTTTCAGTAATGGTGCGTACAAGTAGTCACTGTTTCGCAGACATACATAATGCATGTCCTTTTTGGTAGTTCTTCAAGAAACAACATGTCTGCTTATCTTGTATGTGTTGCATGCCTGCAATGGTAATAATCAGACTTTCAAGAGTAACATAAGTATGTACAGCTATTCACCCACTCATTGTTTAACAGAAAACTAATTAATCGTTAAAGGGATAGTTTACACAAAAATGCAAATAATGTCATTAATTACTCACCCTCACGTCATTTCAAACCTGTAAGACCTTCGTTCATCTTCAGAACACAAATTAAGATATTTTTGATGAAATTCGAGAGCTTTCTGACCCTGCATAGACAGCAAGGGTACTGCCACGTTCAAGGCACAAGAAGGTAGTACGGACATCTTTAAAACAGTCCATGTGACATCAGTGATTCAACCGTAATTTGATGAAGCTACAAGAATACTTTTTGTTGCGCAAAAAATTACGACTTTATTCAACAATTCTTCTCCTCTGCATTACCCTAGCACCATTTTGGAGAGTATCCCGACGCATGCGTGTGCTTTCCTGAACGTAAACAAGGTGCGTGTTCTACATCAGCAGCACATGCAGATCAAAGCACACGCATGCGTCGTGATACTCTCCAAAATGGTGCTAGGGTAGGCAGAGGAGAAGAATTGTTGAATAGAGTTGGCGCCCATAGTCTCGTGGGCAGAGCGTCGACATGTCGCACCATTGCGCTTCAGGCATCCCGTGTTTGTGTCCCGGCTCGTGGACCTTTTCCGATCCCGCCCCCACCTCTCTCTCCAACTTTGCTTCCTGTCTCACTACTGTCCTATCAAATAAAGGCAAAAACTCAAAAAAAAAAAAGATTTGTTATTTTCGTTTTTTGCGCACAAAAAGTATTCTCATAGCTTCATAAAATTATGGTTGAACCACTGATGTCACATGGAATATTTTGTCGATGTTCTTGGTACCTTTCTTGACCTTGAACATGTCAGTTGCATTGCTGTCTATGGAGGGTCAGAAAGCTCTCAAGATTCCATCAAAAATATCTTAATTTGTGTTCCGAAGATGAACGAAGGTCTTACGGGTTTGGAACGACATGAGGGTGAGTAATTAATGACAGAATTTTCATTTTTGGGTGAACTATCCATTTAAGTCGTATGAGCTTTTCCCCATTTAAATTCTTTTCTCCTTATCCAACTATGTCTGGGGCCCTATAGGAACAACATTTTATCTCAGAATGAAGGAAGAAACACCCACAAAGAGGTGAAGAAATACGGAAGATAAGCAGGATGTGGACAGCAAAAACGGGCATGACAAGAAAGTGAAAAAAAAAGAAAGTTAAAAAGTTTCCCTTTTGCTTTTAGTTTTGTTTACTTTGTCTGAAATGAAGATGCAATAAAAAATTTTAATTCGGCCTCCGAGTCAACAAAAAATAGAGTCCAAACATTTTGCTTGTGCTATCTTTCTTTTGTATAAATGCAGCTTGAGTTGATATTTTGTTATTTAATGCAATGACATTTATACAGCTTTAAGTGTGGCTTAAGTGTCCAAAGGCTTTTGGGGCAATTGTAAAACTAGCAGTTTAACTGAGATGCATAAAACACAGTTCCAAAAACTATTCAGGTCTTCTTTTTCCCTTTATTTATGGTAATCTGGTGTGATTTCATTATTTGCACTTACGCAATAAATCCCAAAGCCATTATTGTGTGTGTTTGTGAAAGAGAGATTATATCTGTTCAGAGTGAGGTCAGGTAGCAGCATTACTCACCAGGTAGCTCACCATCAGCACTTATTAACTTGTATTGATGAACTCATTCAGGAAGTCACTCAGCAGTCCTAACATTTCAAACCCACTGTCTGAAAACCAATTCAGCGGAGTCTGAACCCTGAGCATAATTGCATATTATCCTACAAAACTGAAGTGATTGTTGTGTAGTACTTAGTAAAGTGAGCTAGCAGTGACTGTAGTCCAAAACAATGTGACTTTCTGGAGGGTCATGAGATTCACCGAAGACAAGCCTAGGTTTGTTTATACTGAAAGGGCCTGAACAATAGGTTTACATCACGAGGAAACTGGATTCATTAATTCACAACTGGAACAAATATTCTGAAATCATTTAACAGCATGTTACGGTAAATATTAAGATTTAACAAATACAGTACAAAAATTAAGCATAAGAGCATTCAAATGAGATAAAACACTGAATTATAAGTTTAAAAACAGTACAACAGAAATGCAATATAAAGTTGTGATTTTAATAGATTTATCAGGAAAAGGTATGCTGATTCACTGAGATCTGATCATTTGACAGATAAAACCTAGCTCTTTATGATAAGCTAATTCTGCATAATATATTGTTATTACTATAGTATGTACACGTAACATGCAACAAGGACACCATAAAATAAATTGTTACAATACATCTATCTATCTATCTATCTATCTATCTATACTGCTGTTCAAAAGTTTGGGATCAGTAAGATTTTTAATGTTTTTATAAAGAAAAGAATCCTGAAAAAGCTTGAGAGTGTCTACGCAAAACCTCACTTACGACTACACCTCCATTCTTGACATTAAGTTAATGTGGAAAGTAACCCAATTTGTCCAAACTCTGAATTCTCCATTGACACTGAAATGCGTAAGAGGTAATTCTTTACGACACCACTCGGGTCAGAGTACGCAAGACAAGGAGACTGGACTGTGCTGGCCTCTGGAGAACTCTACACTCATTTCCCCTCTCATTTGCACATTATGACATTTTAGTCATCTGACATTTTTACTGCTAATAACACAGACGTACAAAGAACTACTTTCACCATTTTCAAAGGTCATTCACAACTGTTAAAAATATAGGATAACTCGTTAGGATTTCTCTTCGGGGCTGTAACTGAAAGAAGGAATCCACAATGATACACTCGAGAGAAAATAATATCTACATGATGTGCCAGTAAACAACACAGCTGAGGATAAACAACATTAGGAGCCTCATTGCCTTAACACAAGTGACCCCTGCAGGGCATTCTTGGTGTAGCTAGAAGAACATAACTACCCTTTTAACCTTTTAGCACAAGATGACAATTATCACAGTAGCTAAAGGATATTTAGAAAGGACATTATTAAAACAACACATTAAAAACTACAGGCATTCACAGGTGTTTAGATTGACAGTGAGTAGGACTTACTCTGAATGTAATATTGTTCTTGACGATTTTAAATATCTTACTTATTTAATAAAGCTGAAATAGCAGATTAGCAAGAAGGGAGAAACACAAAATAACACATTTGCTACATTATACCTCATTTGATGTATGCAGAAGATGCTGTAAGGATGCATTGGCATTTAGCTGTCAAGCAAACACAATATAACGAACAATAAAAAATGATTAATGTTAATATTATGCAGTCAATCTGTAAAATAAATAAATAAATAAAATAAAAAAAACATTGAGTGCTACAAGTCCCAGTTCACATAATTTCCCACAATAATATAAGACACTATAACTCTCTGCACCCTCCAAATACAAATAATTGGAAGATGAGCTAAGCCAACTAGTCTAGAGACCAGGCTTTTTTCTGTATTTTCATAAACTGCATCCCAAATTCCACTAAACTCAAGAATAAACCTACATGTAGGTCATTTTCATTTGCAGCTCCTCTGAAGCAACCGTTGAAGTCTTGCTACTAAACGCCACCAAGCGTTTTCAAAGTGCAACAGTATGCAGTATGTGGCAAACGTTACAGGAGTCGCTCATGAATATTAATTAGCCTATGCGTACCGAGACACTCTGTTGGAAGGTTGTGGAGCAACGTCACTGCGAGGCAATTCATATTCATGAGCTAGGTCTCAGCCGTGGAAGCGTCACTGGTCCTGCACAACTCACTACAACACTTTTAACGGAGTAACTTTATTAGCAGCCCAGACTTTTATTTTTGAAAAAAATTATAACTATTAAAAAACTTATTTATATTGCTCTACCAACCTCTTAAATGCGTGTGAAAAGATGTTGAACCCTCCTTCAAACGAAGAGTCTTCTCATGTGGTGAACTATGTTGAGGAGTATCTGGAGCTGGTCGAGTCTTTGCCGCTGGACCTACAAAGATGTGTGTCTCTCATGAAGGAAATTGACGCCAGATATCAAGGTGAAAGCTTACAGACTCTCGCATGTAGCAGAAGTGTGAGAAAAAAGCACTGCATTGTTTGTGCAAGGGGTGTTAGATGTCACACTGGCTAGCTGGCTAGCGGCTAACCGTTAGCACGTGAAACTTGCGAGTTTCCCCGCGTCGCGCGATTGAGAGGTCAAAGTTGCAAAGTTGAGCAAATATAGAGTAAATATATGTGTCATTTATATCCTAAATTTGTAGAGGTTTCTGTGAAATCACTACACATCCTGTTTGGATGGAGTGCAGAGTCTTGCAGCTTCTATAGCGCCACTAAGCTTCCTATTTAAATAATTATGTAGCTTGAAATCACAGTTGTGGGTTAGTGTTGTGTAAATAGTTTTTAAAACGTCATAAAGACAAAACGTACACGTATCATATGGTCAGCGACTGTGTCTACTGTATATAAAACATCTAAACGCAAAGACGCTACAGTCAAAACCATTGTTTATAAACCATGCTCTGGTCAATTGTGAGATTTGGGCTATTTTGCTTCCATAACATGTCTTCTTTCAGACTAGTGGAAAGAAAGCATGCAAAATACACATGTAAGTGTTTATTTGATTACACGCGATCTATTTGCGTCTGTAGATTTCAAGTACAATCAAATAATTTCAAGGCCATATTTTCAAAATTATTATTTTTTTGCTCTTTTACTGAGTCAGAAATCTCTACTTAATTAGGACTTACATATTTTTATCCATATCTATATTCTGAAGGCTTTTACATACAATTCACCTGGTAATTATGCATTTTATTCCTAAAACATGAACCCCTCCCTGATTTATGTAGTGTTGAAAAGAGATATCCAGAATCACTTCTGTTAAAAAAAGAATTTCGAATTTGGTTTTGTCCAATTCAGGTTTTGGTTCTGGAAATGTATGCAAATCTAGGCATGTTTACTTAGATAATTCCACATGTGTATATTTAATCAACAATCAACCTGGCACACCTGTAAGTAATTGATAGGTGTGTAGGAAAAACGACCAAAAAAAGGTCCAACTTCAAAACCAAAAAAAGAATAAATCCCACACACTATCCGCACTTGCAAATGTATCAAAATATAAATGTATTAATTCACAACGTCTCGGCCTATGCCATCAGGCATATTGATGAATGGACCGAAACGTGAGTTAATGGAGAGATGATAGTATTGCATTTGCAAGTGCGGATAGTGTTTTTTTTTCTTCTTTTTTTGGCTTTGACTTTTGTATATTTAAACATAACATTTCAGAAAAGTTATTGTGCTGTAATTAGTCAAATATGGTGATATGTGGTATATATGGTTAGTTAAAATGTCTTATTCACTTGGGGTGTCTTGCCTTGAGACAATAATCCTTTGACCACTGACTTTTATTGGAGGTTAAAATGATAAAGGTGTATAGAGTGACATACAGTAACCGTAAACATTGTGCCATTATTATTGTGTTACATTAATCCAAAGGCGTTGATCTTGCAGAGATCCTCAGTGAACTGGACGAGGCTTATGAAAAGCACAGACAAGAATCAGATCCTGTGCAGAGGCGGCGTCTGCTTCACTGCATCCAGCGCTCTTTGATCCGCACAGAAGAACTCGGAGATGAAAAGATCCATATCGCAGGCCAAATGGTGGAAATGGTGGAGAATCGCAGTCGGCAGCTCGAGTGGCAGAGTGAGCTTTTCCAGGCCTGCCAGGACTCGCCGGAGAGCACCGTGTCGGTGGGCAGCACCCCCAGTGCCATAACAACCGTAACTATGACACCGGTTTCTGCTTCCATGCTCTCGGTCAGTAAACCGAGTGTGGATCGGAAACGAGACGAGACCCCGGCTTCAGTTGACAAATCTGGTGGAAAGCGTTCACGAAGGCAGAAAAATGGTTCGGAGAACCGGGAAAACTCCAATTATGGCATGGAGCACAATGAGGAGGTTGGTTCAGGCGTGCCAAAAGAAAAGAAGGCCAAGACCTCATCCACGTCATCGAAGAAGAAGAAGAGGTCAAAAAGCAAGCAGGACAGGGAGCCGTCGCCGACAGACCTGCCTATCGATCCCAATGAACCCACTTATTGCCTGTGCGAGCAAGTGTCTTATGGAGAGATGATAGGTTGTGATAATGATGAATGCACTATTGAGTGGTTTCACTTCTCATGTGTTGGCCTGCACCATAAGCCCAAAGGAAAATGGT